GTATATAAATATACTAGTAGATGTAGCTAAATATGCTAGTAGATGTAATCTGCAGCCACTTCAGCTCGTCCTCCATCCCTCATCCTCAGCAGGCAGCGGGATGATTATTTTGTCCTGTTTGAGCTCTGACAGCTGGTGTTCCTACATGTTTAAAGTAAATCTATGATGCTCTGAGACACTACATTAGTTGTTTATTTATTGTTCGCACATAAACAAACGCCGGTTCTGGTCCGTGCTGGAAGTTGCGCCCCTAATTCATGCAAGGAAACATGGGGGCGAGGAATAAGGTGGATACAACCTATAGCAATGGACAAGCAGAGACCTTGTATAATCTTTTATCTTAATTTGTGACCTCGAAAAGATTAGTGACACTGTCTAGTGATGGTACAAATCTGAAGTTTTGTTAAATTATCTTGAGCGGATCAGAAGATCTGGGCGTGACAAGAGAAAGTTTACAATCGTGCGGACTCGTTACCATAATACGACCGTCTCTCGACAGGTGTATAAAAGCACCAGTTTAATCTTGTGAGAAGTGTCAGTGCTCGGACAACGTGTTGAGGATGACTCTCAGCTACCACCACATCATATTTTAAGGTCAGTTGGCTGTGGCAGCCATATTGAATTGTTGGCTCCAAAAGTTAATCAGCTGTAGAAGCAGTCAACGAGTACTTCCTGAATGTTTCATGAAATCAGTCAAGTGATTCTGGAAGCTAGTGATATTTTGCTAACAGACAATGATGAGTTTATCTTTTGGCACTCAGAATACGTGTTGGTTCAGTCTCAGCAACTACCGCACCAACGTGTAGCTCAATATTTATAAAACTAGCGAGTTAAAGCTAAAACTGCTTTGTGTGGCGGCCATCTTTAATCGAGTTGACGCTAAACGTTATTTAGTTTTAGATGTCAACGCCCAGTGATTGCTTTCTACAAATGTCCTAGTGAAAACACATCCAGTGGTTCATGAGATATTTTACTAACAGTGCAGACAATCGAACACAGACATGTACAGCAGTCGATTAAAACAAAAGCATGATCCTGTCACCAGCTGCTGAGCTGTCTGAATGTAAGACAGCAAACTTTATATTTAGATGAATTTTACTTTTTCATCGACGTGAGCTTAATTAAAGATAAATTGTCTCATATTCATACACGCAGGGCTATTTTCAAAGGAAGTAAAAGATGTCGACTAATGTCAGGAAACCTTTTTGTGCCGCTGTCGTTCCCTCCATGTCTCATCTCATCACGCTCCGTCTGAACCTTGTCGAACATCTTTCACATTATCGTGTCTCCCTCTCCATTCATGTCATCGATGAGTATTTTCACATTCGGCCCAGTGTAAGCACATGTCCACACTTTTATGTTTCTGATAGGCTGTAATTTTAAATCCATTAGCTGACTCTTCAAGCGTGTAGCTAAGCAGGTAATGGAGGTAATGACAGAGGTCCGATGTAAGGAAGAGGACAGAACGGAGGCCTTTAGATTGAGAGCAGTGGAGCGTAAAGACAGAATAACAGAGATGAAACATTTGACAGAAGGCTCCCTCTTATGACACCGATGAAGGACACAACTGTTAGCTGAGTGCATACAACTAGAAAAAAATTACACCAAGTGGATCAAGTGTACTTAGATTTAGATTTGAGTATGGGCAGGTAGAAACTAGGCTACATCCACACCGCAGGTCTTAATGCTCAAACCAGATTGATTTGTGTAATCGTTCACATCATCATTGCAACGCGACCTCCATCAGACTCCAGTGGGAACAGTTTCCCAGATCTGAGGCGACCCGCAGAAAAAAACATGACTTCACACACAGCGCGCTGTGTTTAGGAACGTAAATATGGATGCTACACATACTAGCAAGTATCGATTCTGAAGTTGTTGTGTGCTCATTGTCTGACATGCTTGACTTAACAAGCATTTATATTTAATCTCGTCTCTTGACGGCTCTTCAGGAGCAGCATTGTTATTTTGCAACAAGAGCGACGTATTGAAGCCAGAAACAAACTCAAGTATCGATCCATCACGTTAGTATCGATACGGTCCGACAACAACGCTAGTATCAGATGTAGCGGATTCTGAATCATCCAGGACATGGTCAAAGAAGCGAGACGAAGCAACTGGACTTTGGCTCCGTAGCTGAAGAGCTCCAAGGTTTAATCTGCACCACGTTGGTATTATTATTATCAATATTTGGATCGATCCATTTAACTCCATGTAACTGATGTAAAAATCAGATGAAATGCAACATGACCGTTCAAACTGCAGTCGCTTTGAAGAAAAAAAAAAACATAGGATATGTATCTGAACCACATACGAAGACCTACGTTAGAAAACAATCTGACTCGTCACGTTCAGACTGTCATGAAAATATCAATTCAATTCAGTTTATTTATGTAGCACCAAGTCACAACAGAAGTCGTCTCATGGAACTAAACAGAAACATTCATGTATAAAAATAACAATTTAACTTTATTTATCTGAGGAGCAGCTTTGAGTTTAACTTCATCGCAGAACTCTCATCTTGAGCAAGCATGAAGGCGACAGTGGAAAGGAAAAACTCCCTCATGAGGAAGAAACCTTTAGCAGAACCAGGCTCAGGACAAGCGTCCATCTGCTTCGACCGGCTGGGTTTGGTAGGAACAGATACACAATGGCAGGTCAAGAATCATGTCAAGATAGAAATAGTATCAAATGAAAACTATTCAATTTTAACAATTCATTTAAGGAAATGAGGTCAATTTGTCCTCTAGTAGTCTAAGCCTATAGCAGCATAACAAGCCAACTCTAAAAACGAAAGTCTTAATCCCAGTCTTAAAACTGGACAATGTGTCCGCCTCAAACTGGAAGTTGGTTCCACAAGAGAGGAGCCTGATGAAAGATCTTCCTCCCATTCAGCTCTTGGAAACTCCAGGAACCGCAAGTAAGCCTGCAGTCTGAGAGCGAAGTGCTCCGTTAGGAAAGTATGGAACAATAAGATCTCAAATATAAGATGGAGCTAGGTTGTTGAGGGCTTTGATATGGGTTGAATTTGCCTGCAGTGCGAATGTAGCCCAACGCTGCTTCACTGCTGAACACAAACTTCAAGTACTACTCATGATGCAACATCTTTGCTTTTGCAAAAACTGTTGAGAGTCAACCCTGTTTGTTAGCAAAATATCCCAAGACAAATTGGTTTAAAATTCTGCGTGAAAGACAATATGCGTTAGGCCTTTAATTATTTTAAATGCTTTTAACACATAAAAAATGGGTTATACAATTTATCAGGGTTGTTGTAAACTAACATTTACATTTTTTCATATAATAAAATACTAAAAGAAAGTCAGAACCTGAGTGTCCACCTAGAGGTTAGCTCAGCTTTAGTTCTCACTGGTCATGTTCAGTGTGAGCAGCAGACGGCAGTGATTACGGTACAAGATTTGGGTTTGAACTCTCCTGATTTTAATTGGAACAAATTACAGGTGAAAAAGATTTGAAAAATGGGAATGTGTTTAACGCTGGTGTGGAGGAGCTGCAATTTGCATGCATTAGTGTTTCAGTTCCAACTTCAGCTACGTTTATCAAATAATGAACGCAAATTTCTTAATATAGGACTTGAAGGCCATATACTTCATAAACTAAACAATTCATCCTGCTCAAGTAATTTCATGTCAGATTCATCTTTATTTTGTGGTACAAGGTATAGATTTGTGTAGAATTTATACAAAGTACTGTAAATTGTCTGCTTGGGACAGGAAGGATTTATAAACATTTGTAAATATATGATTTGTCTCTGAATGAATGTCTGACATAATTAACAAAAAAAGTTTTTATCAGCCGTGAAGTTTTTAATGTATTTATTCCTCTCCGCCATGAAAGACAAGTGACCATGTGCTTGTCTGAATGTATGTCAGTAAAATATCTCAATGGATGGATTTTGATGAAACTCTCACTGGATAAACATGATAAACAATTTAGCCTCATTCAAGATGGCTGCCACAGCTAATCAGAGTTCGCAAACACAAAATTCTTACAACGTAGTCACTTTTACACATATCAAGCTAAACGTTGGTGCGGTGGTAGCCGAGACTCGTTCCGATCACATCCTCTGAGTGCTAGCAGAGAAACTGGTGTGTAGTTTCATGCTAATGTTTAATTTATAAATAAAAATATAATTTTAAAATTCTGACTTGTGTCAAAAGCCGACATAAATAGGGACGTAAAATGCTAACTGAAGACATTATGTAGCTAACGTGACACTCAACAGAAGGGTGAGAAAAACTTACGTTGGCCCCACTGGCCACTGTTGGGGTTCAGGTAGTTGGGGTAGAGGCCCTGAGGTTTGTCCAGGCGATTTAGAACTTTCCTGATGTTCATGACCTATCGGTAAGAAAATAATAAGAGAAATGAGAGAAACTGCAGCGTGAATGCTTTGTGCTGAAACCGAGTTGGTCAAAGTAAAACAAACAGAACTTTAACTAAATGCCAAGAAGGAGAAAACTAGTATAAAGTAGCAAAATGGCAGCTAGAAGTTAAAAGTAGTAAAAAGCTAGTTAAAAGTAACAAACATCTAGCTAGAGTACACAAGTAGCAAAATACTAGCTAAAAGCATCAAAAGGTTAGCAAAAAATTAAAAGCGGTAAAAGGTTAGCTAAATGCTAACTTAGCAAAAGGCTATAAAAATGACCACAAGTTTAGCTCGAAGCTAAAAGTATCAAAAGGTCAGTTAGTTTAAATTATAGAAACAGCTGAACATTTTTTAATGACTACAAGTTTGAATTATTCATAAATATTCAGCTATATCTGTCTTATGTTACTATAAATAGAACAAAATATACCTAAGTAGTTCAACTGCAAAAAAGCTTATGAGAAATTAAAAACAGGAAAAACATGACGTCAGAGCTGACTCAGCATTTGCACAATCAAACAGTTTTGTGCAACACGGTCCAAAAATCCAGCGCCTCTGTCCTTTTCTCGCTCTGTAGTCGCCGTTACCTTCTGAGCGAACTCTGGTTTTCCTGAGAGTACGCTGAGGTGCATGAACTCCAAATGCAGGGTGCCGTACTCGGCCAGGATGCTGCTCCCGCCTGACGCCCACGGCCAGTTTCTACCAATTCCACTGGACAAAGAAAAGAGCAGAGGGAGAAAGGATTTACATCCCAGCAAGGATGAAAACACTGAATTACAACAATATGTACAAGACGAGTACAAACTGTAAACTGACTGATGAAGAAAGTTTAACATGTAGGCCTGTCACGATAACAAATTCTGCTGGGTGATTAATTTAGGGATGCACCGATCCACTTTTTTTACCTTCCGATCCCGATACCTAAATCTGAGTATCGGCCGATACCAATCCAGTTCCGATATCATGATCATCATTGATTTTACATGAGGCTGTAATAATCTCATCTCAAGTACAATTTGTACAAATATATGCATGCATGACCAAAAAGGCAACTTGAGGTAAGTTTTATTAATGTTGGATAAGTTTTAAACTTAGAATTAAATTCTGCTAACACAAAACATGTTTTGTTTTTTATTCCTAGTTTTAAAGTGGATATTAAAGTGATTAATTTAAGTGATTGTTTAAAGTTATTTTATATTTTTTTAAATACGGAGCAGATATAAGATTTTTTTTCTTCTTTCTGCACTCATTTCATTCAATGTTTTCTTTTTGATTATTTTTTAAAATTTTGTTTCTTTTAAATGAATGAATACATGAATAAAATAAAATGTTAAATGGCTTCAAACACCTGCTAAGTTCATGACATAAACCAACAGACGTTCCTGTTTTTAGTATTTTACGTCACTTTATAATGTAACTTTTTTTTTTTAATATAAAATTTTCAAATCATGTTTTTTTTTAATGATTGTCTACTGTTGTACTGATAAATATCTCCTGGAGGGTAAACTATATCTTGACTTCAAGTATCAAACTGTGAAATCCTTCATTTTCTACAGTCGATAGCAGTTGGTCATTAATTATGAAGTTTAGCAACTTCTCTGTAAACATTCGAGCTCCGTGGTTTCAGCGACGTCTACTTCTTGTTCAATCTGAAGCAGGCAGCCTGATTTGGGGCAGCCGTGCTCAGTCTGTCCCTCCTCAGAGACGGGCAGACTGAGCAGGGCAGATTGGACGCGGCTGGCCGGTGTCGAGTCGCTTGTTTTGGGTTGAGCAAAGAGCAGCGCCCCGCTGAAGCCACGGAGCTCGAATGTCCAACGTAAAACTAACTTTACCGCGGTTTAATGTGGCGCTATGGCTCTGCAGACATTGCACGTTGCTGTCTTGTTTTGTGGTGTTTAGTGTAAAATACTTCCACACAGCGGACATGTTTCGATGAAAAGTTTGTTAGCTGTTAGCCACCGTGCTGCTAACTCAGTCCTCACGTTGTAGCTGCTGCAAACTATGAACTGGATTTCCTGAATGTGAGGCGGGTCTTATTACTCTGGGTTCATGAGACACGACTCCGTTCAGGAAATCCATTCCGTAGTTTGAAGCCATCGTGAACCATGGATCGGAAATATCGGCAGGTTGGATCGGAAAAATCCGATACGTAAATGATGCTGGTATCGGAGGCCGATACCGATACTGGATCGGATCGCCCCCATTCCTAGATGAATTATCTCAGAAATTATTGCGATAAATGATAATATTGTTTGAAATTTGACAATTAATAATTATTCTCAAATTTAAGAATAAATGTTGGTTAATTTGTTTTGAGTGTAGTATCTTTTTTCAACCACCGGATGGGAGTGTAAGATCGTTTGAACTGAAGGATGGATAGTGAGGGAGCAAGCAGCGTGTGTCTAAGAAAAATGGGATGGAGGCCCCTTAACGTGACATGGGCTGTGTCTCTTTCCTTTTATTTGGTTCTCAAAATGGTGGCCGCTCAGTGTGGTTTGAGCTCTTTAGCATACCATTTGTCACACAAAGCTTTTAATAAAAAAAAAAATCAGTAAACAAGTTCTCAGCTTCTGCAGAGAAAAAAAACTTTTTACACGAAGGCTCGGGTTTCAACCGTGAATTTTGGAGCTTCAACAAGACGGAGGTTTTTTCCCTGAGGTCAGCCTGTTAGCTTAGCTTGTAGTTTAGCTTCTCAGCTTAGCTGCCGTTTACGATCCAAAAACACGATTTTGGACGGTTAAAATTGATTTTAAAGAGAAAAGAGAAAGGGAGGTGTCAGTGAAGAACACCCGAGTTGAGCTTTTTGTCATCCAGCGTCTTCAGTAGAAAGAGAGAGACACAAAGAAACGATAAAGCCGACAAATGAAAACGAGGTCGATAATTTTCCATTTATCATGCGATTAATTGATTTATCGCGACAGGCCTATTAACATGTATTAAAACAAGAAGCCAGCTTTAGTCACTTTGTAATAAAATACAGAACTGCTTGGTAGGAAATAAACCAGGTTTACAGTCCAGGCAGTAAAATCTGCTTCTCTGGATGCCAAACTCTCTGAACATCCTAGGTCCTAAAAAAATCAGCTGCTCATATGATTCAAGTATCTCTTGCTTCTATAAACAGTTGTAAAATGAAAGTACAAGGCAGGTTAGCACACGTGATGTTCTAGGCATGTTTGTTTTGTCTCAGAACAAGCCTTTCCTCTTTGTTCTCAGGACACATGTCAGGTATGCCAGGTAATGCTAAACACCCTGCAACAGTGTGTCTGCAGGATCATTAAGAGCACTGATGAAACCATTTCAGGCCAGGGACTGATGACTCCGATGGCAACGCCTCCAGTTAGTACTCATGAATACATATTGGCCATTTACTTCCCTGTTTGTGCAACATGAAGCACACAGTCATGTACAGAGAAAGATGAAGCAGGGAACACATCCAACAAATGAGAAAGGCTAGATGAGAAGATCTGTGAATTGGGAGAAGAGCCACACTCACACAGATCTCTTCAAGGAGGTGGAAGAACATACTAATTACACCCCCCCTTCCCCCCCACCATCAAGTCATCATGCTGTACAAGCCGTAATTTGTTCCTCATTACACCACGGATTTAATCAAGTCAACCAAACACAGAGGGAGCCAGAGGAGCATCAGGAAGGGAGCTGGGAGACAGATCAGGGTCACTGGTGGGGAAAAAAAAATCCCATCAATGCAGATCCTGATAAATTTAGTAGCTCCGTGTTAGTTTTAGATTAAAACGCTGGTTGGAGTTTGGTTTAAATGATGTATAGACAACTTTGTTTTGAACTACACAGTGTTTGTGTTAGAGCCACACACACACACACACACACACACACACACACACACACACACACACACACACACACACACACACACACACACACACCTCTGCTGTCATCTGTGCACTTGACCTGCCTGTCCATCTTTCTCAGTCCTTTTGCAAACCCTGTGATGAACCATAAATCCCTTTGCTTGATGGGGTGGGGCTGCAGCAAACACCTACAGTATCTAACTCACCCGCATCCACCACAATCCTACCAAAAAAAACCCTGCTGCGAGAAACAAACCCCAGATAAAGCGGACAGAAAAGCTGCTGTGTAAACAAAACACATGGACCAACGGGTACAGATATATGTCTGAAGAATGATGGATGATGGTGCGCTGAGAAGGTCAACTCATGACGGTGTGTCTGACAGTTTCAAACATATACATTAAAGATGATTTAAGATCTGTGACGATGGCCTGAACTTCATTAGAAATAAAAAAGCTGTCAAAATCAGCGTGCTTGCGTTACTAATGACTAAAATGATCAAACCACCTATCCATCCATTTTCTGCCACTTATCCACGTTTGGATCCGCAAGGCAGCCGATCCAGAAGGGAAACCCAAACATCCCACTCCACAGTGACATCCTCCAGCTCCTCCTACGGGAGTCCAAAGGTGTTTGCAGCCAGTGAGGATACACAATCCCTTCAGGTCTCCTTCCAGTGTGCAGGTGCCAGGAATCAAATGTCTGAATCACCTCAACGAACTCTTTTAGATGTGAAAGAGCTGCAGATTCACTCTGAAGAACCTAAATTCAAAGCCAGACGGAACCATATCCTCAATACTTCGCAGTTCGACTTTCGTGACTCACTCTTCCGCAGGTTTTCAGCGTAAGATTGTACACATTGTTTCCCAGTGTCCTGGCTGCTCAGTGATCACCAAGGGGCCCTTTCCTTTCTCTTTGTGAGGCTGTCAGCCTCACAAAGAGAAAGGAGGGGCTGGAGGGAGGACTGTCTTCTCCCACCGCTGCTGTGGGAGCTTCAATGAGTCGGATATCAGAGTGAGCGGCATGGATTGTTTATTTAAAATAATCAAGCGTGACTCGAACTGAGCCTTAACCCGAGCCGGAACATTTCCCGGTGCTCCCGATGGTCAGTCCGCCCCCGGGCGCTGATTGGCTCAGTCACCGTAGCATCAGTCTGTCTGCTCTCTTTCGCTGTGCTCTTTCAGAGCATTTAGAGAGTTTAGAACATTGCAAGAGTGTGGGAAGAGTTTATAAAAGTTTAAAATATGTATAAATACTAAAATAAATATAATGTCCCTAATTCACAGATTTTCACCTATCCCGGGGGTGTGTGGAACGTAACCCCCGCGATAGGTGAGGAACTACTGCAGGAGCATTCAACTGGTGGCCCGCGGGGTGACTTCAGTCCAGCCCACTTCATTAAAAAAATTAAATTAAAAAAATTGGGGGGTTCTGGGTCGGGTTTTGTTTATTACATTTATGAGTCAATGCAATAAAACAAGCTAATTTGAAAGGTAACCGATCATTGTAATACTTGGTTTATTTACGTAATGAATTTAATTGCTGGATTTCAGGACCCTGGAGTGCTAACTTTCAGAAACTGTGGCCCCCTGAGCAGTTTTGTTGATTAGCCCTAAACTACTGTAGTAAAATTACTTCAATTGTTATAAGTATGCACAATATCACATGCACATAAACGTACTAGACAACAAGCAGAGGCTAACTAAAGCAATACACTGGACACCTAAATATTCCTCGACTGCTAAGATAACTCACAGTGAGGGAACTCTGGTTAAACTGGCAAATTAATGCCAGTAAATCCAGAAATTTCAAGTCTGAGAGCTCCTTCTGTTCCACTCTGGAATAAATGAACCCGTTTGAGAAGTTACCCATGGGGACAACCAC